CGATTAGGGGAAAGAAATAGTGATACCTACATGTATAATCTTCTCGCCAATGGTCGAGGCAGACGGGGTCGCCCATAACGAAACCGAGGGAAGTGACGGATTACGACCCGCGCTGATGAGGAGGATTACTATTGGTTCTGTGGGAGACAGGTCACAGTAGCATACAATGAACCGACAGCTGTGGACAAGAAGAGGATGAGAATAATGAGATAGCTGGTGAAGTGAGAATATATATACAAGTTGGTCATGACTCATAACAACACTTTCTAAAGGAAACCACGCAAGCTGACAGCCATGGCTCAGCTTAAGGCTATTGAAGAGATGGTTTGAAGGCTTCCACAGTGCCAGGATGAAGGGGAGCTGCAGTTCAGACATGCCAGGGAATAGCAAGGAATGCTTGATGTGATCAAGAGATACAAAGTGGAACAAACAGTTGATATGATTCAAATGCATATGAAGGGGACAATGGCCGTTTTATGGGGTTTGCTTTCTCAACTATTTGACATTGCCAGCAGTTTGCCATAATCAGTTAACTAGCCATCAAACATAATCAATCGAATAAGAAACGCCCCAACACCACAACGGAGTATTTGCACACCTGGTCCTGCGTAGAGACTTTTAGCAATATAATATGCAACCCTTATAATTACAATGAATACAACCTGGCTCCTCACTGGGTAAAATCAAACAATTTGGGGAAGGCGGCGCCAACGACCTAGTCACCCGGTCGAGATCATTAACTAACTAGTTACTCAAGGAAAATGAAAAGCCGAAGTCGCGGAACTGAAAGAGAAAAGCTCAAAGATCCATTCGTTACAGCTCAGGGGGAAAATTCATAGACCTAGGCATTTCCACCCCAGCAGTCGTTGCCACCTGTGTTATTGTGGTAGCGAATTCAGGCTTTCAACAGGATCAACTGAATATCAGCCACTTTCAGCCGTTGGTTGAAAGCCTAGATCTCATCCGATCAAAGATTACATCGCCATTCAACATCGTCTCGTCGAGGCCCGCAACCGCAGAATCCAGGATACGCGATGACATGCTGTCTGGAGTGAGCTCCTCGGGATCATCAAGCGGACGGTGAAACCCAGTGTCAATCTTCAAATCAAGACCTGGCCGGATGGGAGTGCTGGCATTGGTGTTGGGAGTGATAGGCCTTTGGTATGGCTTGGTGCGGTGGACGAGCGGCGGACCCTGAGTGCGGGCGTCTGTGCCAGACTGCTCGATGCTCTCAAAGTACTGGTATTTCGGTTAGGAAGAAACCCTCATATCGGAGTGAACTGGAAAGAATTCCTTACTTTAACAGTTTTGACCTTGAGTTCTAGAGTTGCGTCTTCATCAACGACAATCAGGGGGTGCTGGTGAAGTTGCAAGGTGGACAGGGTCCACATGTGGTTGACAGCTCCTTCGAGCCCCTTTTGCAAAGCTTTTGCTTTGTGAACCCCTGTCACGACGATGACGACTTCATTAGCATCCATGATTGTCTTTATCCCCACGGTCAAGGCAGTGCGCGGAACCTTGTTCACGTCGTTATCGAAGAAACGCGAATTCGCAAGGATGGTGTCGTATGCCAGGGTCTTCACACGGGTACGCGAGTTCAAGCTGGATCCGGGTTCATTGAAAGCAATGTGTCCATCTGGGCCAACGCCGCCGAGGAACAAATCAATACCACCGACGCGTGTGATCTTCTCTTCGTACTCGGCGCATTCTTTGGCAAGATCGCTAGCATTCCCGTTGAGGATGTTGATGTTGCCGGGCTGGATATCAACGTGGGAGAATAGGTGCCTGTACATGAAGCTGTGATAGCTCTGTGGATGATCCCGAGGGATGCCAACATATTCATCCTGCACGACATGTTTCTCAGCCATCTGGATATACATTGCTGTCGGACTTTAAAATGGAAGAGAACAGGGTTATCTACCATGTTGAACGTCACGACATGCTTGAAAGAGATCTCTCCAGCCTTATGGCGTTGGACGAGGATCTTATAGATGATCTCTGGACTGCTACCTGTGGGAAGACCCAGCACAAAAGGCTTGTCCGCAGTCGGAGCAAATGCCTTGATACGGCCTACAAAGGATGAAATAGTTAACCGAATGGGGCCTTGCTGAAGACACAACGGGGTCGATTCTCTAAGCAAAGCACTGTTCATGCACATGACAAGAGGAAAGATAAACAGTGGAGTGGATTATACAGGACGCAGATAGAGGTTTGGCTGTGTCAAAACACACATACTAATGATATAATCGGCAATATACTCAGAGACAGCCTGAGGGTTCTTTCGAACGATGACTCTCCTTCACCACCGCAAAAGTGCAAATTAGCCCACAGACCAAGGATATGGCAAGATGGCAAAGGAGTCTTACATCCTGACAGCTGAGCAACGCGTCTGCGTTCAGTTTTATTGATAGTGTGAGCTGGATCTCGGCGAGCTAACAACGGTCCGGAATCTCAAACTGACAAAAGGTAAAAGCAGAACAGATGAGATCAAAGTGAGAAGCAGATGCTTGAAGGATGAAAGATGCAATGAAGGAGAGGGGTGAGCAAGTGAGAGAAAAGGTGGTTGTGATGTGTTACTCTCCCAAGTGAAGTGGTATCAAACAGAAAATCAGAAGAATTCTATACAACCATGTATGTCTATCTGAAAAGTGTCAGTTCTACAATAAAACCCTCTTCCATTTTTTGTCTTTGCTCCCTCTTCTTATTATCCGGAAGCAGCTTCAATCACAATTCGGTAACGTCATCATCCATGGGGCGCATTACCAGTAGAGCCTAAAATCAACGCCGGGATTCCAATGGCAACAGCTCGAATCGAGATCGCCAGCCAGTCAAAAAGGATGCTCCATCCCACCTCATTACTCAGACACAACTTAAAATGATGAGGGTGGCACCGTTCTCTCTGCTTTATGAAGTAACAATGCATCTTCCTTGGCCCAGTTGTATGGCACAAGAGGATGGGAAGGAGGCCCATAGGAGGCCTGTTGATCATCCACATGCCCTCCTTGCTTGCCTGTTGAACTGGGGCTGAGGCACGATGACCAGACGGACCGGTCCCTACGTCCTGCACTCTACCATGTTTCCCACGGTGACCGTCGAGGCTTCACCTCGCCATCGCTTTTGATGTTCCAGTCCAGTGCTCCCGTAACTTATATGTAAGGTAACTGGGCCTAGGTTACGCCACACATTCTGTAATTTACATTAATTCACTAGTGAATCTCAGTACGGTAACCTCTATACACGCGGAATTACCGTACCGGAACCATTAGTGCAACCATCTCATCTCAAAGAGCTTGAAAGCCCACAGTAAAATCTTGCAACGTCTCATCCAAGATTTCCCCTCCAGTTTCATACCATCAGTGAGGCAGCTTTGCTGGGACACCGTATTCACACTGTATTCATACTAATTTTTGTCCTCGGTCGAAAGGCTACTCTATATCCATCGCATGTGTTTTAACTGATGTTAAAGCTTGTTAACATCTGAGACTCATCTCTGGGGAGGGGCATCTGACCGCTACATGATACCCGGTGGTTAATTCCTCTTCATCTCACAGAAGCGCACCGCTTTAATGCTCCCTATCATCTGCTCCGACTCTGAGTCAGAAGCTTTGCAGTATCCATTTGCTGGCCAATGATACTTACTCAGGACAAGTATCCGCTTCAGGCTCATCTAAAGAGTCCCGAGATCCCGTCGAGGACTTCAGTATCGATAGCAGCCATTGTCTCACGATCCCTTCTTACCAATCTACGACAGCTTTCCCTAGGCCCCCAGTGTGTATCCTTATAGAACTAGGTGTGAGCGGCCCGGGTCCGTTTTGGCGGTCGGGCGGCGATCTGATATACCGGCACCCACTGGGTCCGATGACGGCGATCCCGGAACCGCGAGAATTCCAATGTGCCTCCAATGTCAGGACCTGAGGCTTGGGAGTATCACCCTATTTTCGATGTTGTCATCCGCCATCTTATGCTCTCCGAATTTACTCCATGAAGGCCATACGCCTCCCTAAAATATTCGCCTGGGAGGGAGGTTTGATTGAGCATGAGTGCGATTATCGATAGAACCCATCTGGTTGGATAAAGTTCCATGGTTCTACCTACTATCAGCTCCTACTACATTCAATGAGGATCAGAAGGGAATACATACCTTTCATGTGTGAAGTTCAAGGGAGGTGGAAGGCTGCAATTAGCCACTCAAAAAGGATTTCAGGAATCCTCATCTTTGTCCTGAAGCCAGTCAAACATAACTGACAAAGTGGTGAGGGAATAGTCATCAGTATGAACGAAGAACATGCTGATTCCTGATGCATAAGAGATACCAAAGTTGATTCTCAAATATGCCAGCTACTAAGGGAAAGGGTGACTTCGTTGACCAGGATTGAACAGAGCAAGAGCATCTTTCAAAGCCTCACGACCTAAGATTTGCCCATGAAAGGAGCCTGCCCTACGGAGTATGCATTCAGATTTCGAGGGAAGAGCTGCCTTACTTCTCAGGCTGTTCGTCAGGTGTTATGAGAACGCTTCAAATAGTAGTATAGCTCCTGGATTGGCAGCACACAAATCTGAATCTTTGGTGTGAAACATTCACTGGTCTCATCCCACGATCATCTTGTGATATAACCATTCTCAGCCACACGGAAATTACGGTAAACAATCTCCACACGAAGAGACTGTGGAGTTTCGTAACCCAGTAAATTGCCCGTCGGCGTAACGAAGTTATTTGAGTCCCTCGTGTAACCCCGGGCCCTTCAACGGCTTCAGTCTTGAAACGAGCATTGCCGTTGACACGAGCCAAGCCAGATAGCACGGCTTCCCGGGTTGCCTCAGCGGCAAGTGGAGAGAATTGAGAGCGTAGAATATGTACAGCTGTATGGCTTTTTGCAGATTTGTCTCCTCGAGGTGCATTATGTCAGCACCCGGGAGGCTGACAAATCCACGTGTTTCTGGGGCCTGGCCAATCAAACGCGTCCGGTATCGGCTTGAGTCACCGCCTTCCTCACGACCTGCGACCATCATCGCCGTCCAGATCTCAACCAAACGGAGCTGTCGAACCTCAGCTGATAAAACTACATGCACAGGAGCTTAAAATCTCCCGTTTCGCGTCGCTAGCTCCTCGAGCTCGGGAGCTCTGGACGCAAGGATCCCTCGTTTGGTCCCGTGATACCTGTTCTTGCATGATTATGTCGACACCAGACCGCCTACACTTGATTCAACTCAAGCCTCAACGGCAAGCTCCGCAGGGTGACGATTACGGCCGCAGTCGATGCTCTATTTGGCCCATGGTGCTCTTCTGCTCGCTCTAGCTAGCGACCACGCAGCCTAGGCGCTTCCTTCCCTCTGGCGACTCTGTTCTCTGGTTCCTGCTCCTTGCTCCATAACCGTTGATCTTAACGTTTGTGGCTGTCAGATCATCGTCTCCCTGCTCTGCCCACGTGAGCAAACCGCGGTATTGCTGAACCGAGCAGAAGGGAAGACCTCTCGGGGTTTCCGTTGCCGCCATGGCAGCGGCTCAGGAGAGGGACGTCTCGTCGGAGCGGGGCGGTAACGACTTGAAAAGGTATGTCCGTTGCCTATAACTAATTCATGAACTCCTCAAAATTCCAACTTTGCACAACATCATATACATCTTGCACCCCTCAAAACGCCATGCTTGATTTTCCCTTATTCCCGTTTCCCACCGCTCCTTCCGTATCCTTGAAATGACATACAACATGGGACTCAATTCCAATACCACATGTTCATATCAATATCCATATCCCCTTCCAAGAGTTTTTATTGAACTTTCTACCACTCCTCATGGCAGCTAATTTCCCTTTCTCTACAAGAAAACGTACACTAGCTGACAGGAAACCATGGACGGCATCGGTTACAGGCAAATGGGTCAGCTCTTTGTCATGGGCTTTGATGGAACTAGTGTGAATCCGCAGATTCGGTCACTTATCGAGGACTACCATCTTGGTTCAATCATCCTGACTGCTAAGAATCTTAAATGTGCAGCCCCTTCCATCCTGCTTGTTTCTCTTTCAAATAATTATGCATTAATATGCATATGACGTCCCCCTTTGCCCGTCAAGTGTCTCCCATTTTCGACATGTAGATGAATGACGTTGCTACTTCCTCGCCTGGTTTCTATCCCTATTTTATGAGTTGCGCTGGACACTAACTTCTTCATAGCGGCAGAGGAGACCACGAAGCTCGTGCTGGAGCTACAAACAATCGCCCGAGATGCTGGGCACTCTGCCCCCCTTATGATTGGCCTTGACCAAGAGAATGGTGGTGTTAATAGTCTATTCGATGAAATCTATATCCGTCAGTTTCCCAGCTCTATGGGAATCGCAGCCACGAAGTCGAAGACTCTAGCAAGAGAGGTGGCGAAAGCTACAGCTCAAGAACTCAGCGCTGTTGGTGTTAATTGGATCCTCGGTCCGGTTCTAGATGTCCTAAACAACGCAAGAAGCCAACCATTAGGTGTCAGAAGTATTGGAGACGATGCGCAAGAGGTATCCGCGTACGGAGTCGAGTTCATGAAAGGGTATCAAGAAGCAGGCTTAGTGACTTGTGGAAAACATTTTCCGTCTTACGGAAACCTCGATTTTTTAGGAAACCAAAGCGACGTTCCTGTTATCAAAGAAAGCCTTGAGCAGCTGAGTATGAATGCGCTTGTCCCATTTCGAAATGCTATCACCCAAGGTTTAGATTCAATGATGGTTGGTGGTTGTGCGATGTCATCTGCTGGCATGAACGTTATGCATGCATGCTTATCGGAACAGGTCGTCGATGACTTACTTCGAAAAGACCTTGAATTCAAGGGCGTTGTCGTGTCCGAGTGCTTGGAAATGGAGGCCCTCAGTTACAACATTGGAGTAGGAGGGGGAACAGTGATGGCCGTGAAAGCTGGTTGCGACTTGATACTGCTTTGCCGATCCTTCTCAGTTCAACAGGAAGCAATTGATGGCTTAAGGCTAGGAGTCGAAAACGGCATGATTAGCAAAGAACGCATCCAGCAATCGCTCAAAAGAGTATTTGATATGAAATCCCGTTGCACGTCGTGGGAAAAGGCATTAAATCCTCCTGGCATAAGCCTTCTTTCCAAGATGCAACCATCGCACACCAGCCTATCAACTCGGGCCTACAACAACTCAATTACTATCGTTAGAGACAAAAAGAACCTCCTCCCGCTCACTAGTACTCTTGAATCTGACGAAGAACTCCTCCTTCTCACCCCTTTAATAAAGCCTCTTCCCGCATCGGCCGTATCCCTTTCGATGAGTAAAAGCACCAGAGAAACCGTTCTTGCTACCGATGCAGTCTCCTGGGATCCTAGTGCGTCTATTATGAGCGGGGAAAGCGTTTTTCGCGAATTTGGGCGGTCGTTGGCGCGGCATCGAAATGGGCGTGTACTCCATACTTCCTACACAGCAAATGGAGTCCGCCCTGTTCATGAGAACCTTATCAACCGTGCAAGCGGTGTCATCGTGGTCACTGCTGATTCAAACCGAAACCTTTATCAGCATGGCTTCACTAAGCACATTTCGATGATTTGCGACGCACAATTTGCTGAGAACGGAGAGAGACGGCCGAAACCGCTGGTAGTAGTGGCTGTAAGTTCTCCCTATGACTTTGCCACGGATCAATCCGTTGGGACGTATGTATGCACATATGATTTTACAGAAACGGCGCTTCAAGCCTTAGTCAAGATATTATGCGGAGACTTGACGGCCAGCGGCTCTCTTCCTGGTACCTTGAGCCGTAATCAGAAGCTTCAGCAATCACGGCAGCATTGGCTTGCGGAGAATTGGAATGAAGACCGTGATGCAAACGCACTAGATGAACTGCTCACAGCCGTCCGTGAGGATGGCACGAATAGCCAGCGATCTGAACTTGCCGGCGTTACATCCAATACATTCCTGTTGCGAAATCCAGACGTTGAAGAGGCACATTTTGTTGTTCGAAATAGCAGCACCCAAGCTTTATTGGGATTTTGCTCGACATATTTTTTTAAATCGACCGGAACTGGAGTCATTGGTGCTCTAATCGTCGATCCCGGGAGGCGAAAGCTGTCGATCGGAAACTCCTTACACAACCGTGCAATCCGGTCATTGATGCAGAGACAAGGCGTAAGACGATTCCAGCTGGGCTCACGTCTCCCGGGAATATATCTTGGTATTCCGACGGGAAATCCAGTGGAGAGAAAACGCCTCAGACAATGGTTTGCTAATCTTGGCTGGAACACGTCTTTGTCCAGACCAGTATGCACAATGGTTCTTCGGAATCTGGAGAAATGGACGCCTCCAGAAGGTCTGACCCGAAGTTTAACGAGCGCAGAAGTGAGCTATGATTTGGTTTATGGGCCGGATTATGCAGAAGCAATCCTTGACCATATCAAGACCAATTCGAGACAAGGGGTCATGGAAATATACAAGATAGCCCTAAGTAGTGGGTCAACATCAAGCGGGATTATTCGCGCAAAACGAAATGATGACGGCGCTATCTTGGGTAGCGTTGTTGTGTATAACGGGGAGTCGCCGCTGGCCGAGTTTGTTCCTGCAGTGAAAGAGGCGCGGGCTGTGGCTGGGGGGATCTCTTCCGCAGTCATCTCTCCATCCGCCGGGGAGTACGCGATATTGGTGCAAGGCCTGATCCTGTTGGGTATCAAGCAATTACGTAGTCAGGGGGCCAGTGCGGTGGTTCTAGATTGTGTGAGTGGTCCATCCCCTCTTTTTCTGCGAGTCTGGTAGCTTGATCGTTGGAATCGAGTTCCAAGAAAATGGGATTTGCCCCTTAGCCAACGGACTCGGATAAAGTTAGGGGGCAGGTTGACTGAGGGTTGTGATTTCACTAACGGCAATTTAACGGCAGGTGGATGGAGACGGCAATTTCGATAGTCTCTCAGCTATGGGATTCTCTGTGCTCCACAGCTTCGACGAGGTGACTTGCGATGCGGCCACTTGGAATATGTTAACCTCGTCATGAAGAATGGTTTTGACCGCGACAACATATGTTTATTTACTTGCCAATGGCCGTTGGGCACCGCACGGGCGCATTGGGGAGCGGTGTAAGGATGAAGGAATGATCTGGTGGGCTTAATTGGACTTACGGGGGTTTACGGGGCTTTCATCCACAGTTCCTGTATTTATATGCTTGGTATTCTATAAATATCGTTTGGATGTGGCCATTTTTGTCAGATTTTGGGATTTCTGGCGATTTGTCATTCTTTGATACCCAGGGGAGTTGAGGGAGGCAAGACAGGCTACAGCCACACAAAAAGAGGCTGTCCGACGTTTTTTGATGGGTAACTTGGGCACCCTGCTACAATAGTCTCGTGGGAGGAGCAGAAAGAGAGTTTGACTCACTCATTGAGCTGGGGCTGTGAGCAGCAGGGTGGACAAGCATACATTATGTGTGCGTATGCGCGCGCGCGCAGGTCCCCTGATGATCAGAGTCAAGTTTAAGGCAATATACGAAAGAAGACCTGAGCCAAGCAATAAAGGACGATTTCAGAACTTATTCTCTTTTCCACCTTTAGTTTCCTTTCTCCTGTGCTGCCCACGTCGTCTTGTCCTACGTCATGCAAGAAGGAAAGAAAAGACGTCGATAAAGAACCACTCGCCAGAAATCCAGACCTAATCAGAATGAATACCCGAGGAATCATGAGGGTGGAAGGGGCATGTCCAGCAGCAAACAAGTAGGACATGACTGGGGGGATTTGGTAAAGAAGCAAGATATTGGCCGTGATGAATTCGGAGGTTGGTGGGCGCGGGGCAGCGAACTCCCCATCATTTACCATGCGCAAAACGTGTGTTGAACTGCGATTAGTTCGTTAGCTGCCGCTATTGATTGACCGGTTCATGCATCTTTGGGGTAGTTATCGATTGTTGATTGGCAAAAGAACCAAAAAAGAAAGAGTGCCAATTTCAGCACGATGATCAAATAGCATGTCCTATATTTTCGCTCGATATTATTATTTATAAGCCAGCCCTCGGTATGTGGGCAGGAAGAAGGGGGGGTGTAAAATCAAGCAACACGATCGATCTGCGCCGACTAAGTTGTCCAAACACGGAGGAATGCATGACGGCCAACCTCGATGACAGGGCCCCCCCCAAAGGCAGACAAGATGCATGGAATGGGGGGAAAAGATGGAGCGAGATCCTCTTCGGGCCTGGGTTGATTTTAATGATTGACCGCCTTTTTGATTACTCGTTTATTTTGGATGATATGTTATTGCTATTATTATATCATATAACAGCCCCAACTTTCCTCATCCGGTGGGCGAGAAAAAGAAAGCCAAGTGCAAATTGAAGATGATAATTTTCCCTCGGCATGGCGGAGAGAGAGAGAATGAATGAGTTGAAACCAGCGTTTCACAGGTGTGATCCTTTATTTTTCTGTTGTCGAGTAACTACTTTCGACTCTTGGTTCTTGGTTTTCTCGTTCGTTCCCGTTCGTGGGGCAGATCGATTTAGTTCAATAATAATCTCTGATTATTCAGAAGACCAGTCTCGATGATGGACCAGGGGGTGTGTGTGTGTGTGGGGAGGACAGAGCACCAGCAGGGCACAGACCCGGCCTTTTCTTGTTCGCCAGGAAAAATGATAAATCCTTTTTATCCTTTTTTCTTTTCCCCCTCATCTTCTCTCCGCCCTTGTGATGGGATGGGACATCCGTCTCCGTATAATTCCAGAGGTTTAAATCCCGCGTGGCCAGCTTGGGGGGGGCCGGCCGGGCAGGATGTTTGTGTGGAGAAAGGGCAGTGAAGTGGATCTAAAGTATGGGGAAAGCTGTTGACCTGTTCGGGGGGGAGAGAACCTCAGGTGGGCTGTGTGCTTTTTCTGATCTCAAAATCCAGCTTTTCACCGCCAGATTGTTGCAAGTTGGTCGAGGAGATCATTTGACGCACGGAAGTGTCCCCTTTGAGAGATTGATGGCGGCGATATCCACAAACCACAAACCCGTCCGTCAACCAAAAAGAATCCACTCCGACGAAACGCCGAAAACAAAACAGCAAAAAAAAGATGGGTTGTTGGTGAACTGTGTTGTTTCGTCGTCGTTGGTTTATGACGGGCTGTTTTCTTTTCCAAGGGTAGAGTTTTCCTTTTTGATCCTTTTTTTCGACCATTCAGATTCTGGAAGGTCAGAAAAGAAAATCCCACGAAAATCTTGGATGCGTTTAAGCTCCTTCTAGAAGCAATTTAGCCCTGTTCTCGAAGATTCCTCCACACGCGCCCGATCCGAGCATCGCGCGCATGAACGAGGGAAAAGGACAGAGACTGGGGGATGACGATGAGCTGCATGAGCGGGCATGAAATCATTATTGTGATTATTGACAGTCATGCCCTTCTTCCTCCCTGCTTTTTGACAAAGGGGGGGAAGAGTTCGGCTTGGTTGGTGTTGGATCCATTGGATAAGCAAGGATGGTAAACTCCAATTTTTCTATTATTGTTATTATTTGATAGTTCTGCATGTGATTACGGACATGGGACATTTTTGACCGGGGTTGGCGGGAAAACAAGAGTAATGAAAAAAGAAAGAGAGAGAGATCGCAATTGAAGGAATCGCGGTTTCCGATCAATCAGGCGTGTGCGTTTTTGCAGACAAGATTGGGCCGTTTTGGAATTGCTTGCTTTGAAACGATCCCGTTGTTGAAAGACCCTTTTATTCCATCGAATGAGATTCTACGATTCTCCATACGAGAAATCACCAAGGGGGAGGTCGAATTGCTGAACGCTATGCGCGGATGCCGCCGGCTACTCGAGGTCGAACAGTCCTGGTGAAATTGGCCCATTTATTGGCTGAGAATCGACCGTTTATTCTTTGATTTATTAATAATCTGTTTCTTTGTTCGCGGATCAGGAACAGTCCGCGGCCTGGGATTCGCTCGCGGTTCAACAAAGTCGGCGCCCGCGATCCTGGAATTTAAAATGCCGAATGGCGCCAGGAACACGATTTGCGGGGTAACTAACTAGTTAACAGGAGTCGCTGTTTCGCTGCACTGGTTGGAGAAAAAAAGGAATCAATCGCTTTCAACGGTGGAGGTGGATCTGGCTGTCCGGGCTCCATCGTTCAGCGACATAAAGAAACAAGCAGAGCAGGAATTCCATGGGTTTTCCAGACAGAAGAAGCAGACTTGCGCGAGGGGATTAGAGTTGTTTAGCGGGCGTGGGCGTTAGGGGACCTGCTCTGTCGGGAATGGCGGCTTCCAGGGCCCCAAATCACCGAAAGCTCCCTGAAGCCGAAAAAAAGAGCTGGTTTCATGGGCTCATCCTCACTCAACTCAAAAACGGGACAGAAACAATCCAATTTCCATGGCGCTGGGAAATCAACGAAGCTGGTCTTCTCCAGACGCACTTGGCAGGTGTGGACGGAGCAAGACCGTCCGCGAGCTGGATAACTAGTAAATTGCATTGTTTTTTACGAAGAGGAGGGCGTCTTGGCTGGCCTGTCTGCCCATGACTCGCATATTGCTGCCAACCAGACCCTGTCATGCTTGGAAAAAGGAGGCTAAAGGCGCCTGAAGAATTAAGAATTTCGTGGCGGATCTTCGTCTGGACTAGTTAGTTTACACGAGGCTTGCAGAACCGCCTTGCGAGAGAAGTGTGAGCTTGTTCGCTCTGGCGTCTGCCTTTGTCCTCGGCTCTTTCTCTCTTGCTTCCTGGGGGTCGGAGATGACGGGAGTGGACGGGTAATCCTGTCGAGTTATCCGATAATTACATGATCTCATCCAGGACTCGACTGCTCTTTCACATGAAGCTCCGCCGGGCCTCCTTTTCTGTTGTAAAAAGCCGGGTTGAACACACTCGCGAAAAACCGGTACGCTGGGTAAAGTTGCTGCCCAACGCGCTCAGACTCAAAAATCAAGAGGGAATCAACGGCGGACTGCCGTCCTGAACCTGTGTCTGGGCAAAGGACAGGGTGCCCTGGTTGGCCAGAGCCAAAACAGGTGCAGCTCGGATGCAGGGGCAAGGTCTGGCGTATTATGATAATGTCCGGGAAGCGAATATCGCAAGACAAAGAAGGTCAGGCGCCAGCCAAATCAAGAGCTCGAAAGAACCCGGGCAGAACGATGACGATTGGTTTGAGCGGTGATTACTCACTTCATTTTCTTCTAGAAGGATCACGGCAAAAGCCTCCCTGTCCTTGCTGTCATCCTGGTGGAATATGATCAGCCAACCCGTGTTGATCAATCTGTTGGAGCGGAGTGGGGCTCCTGGCAGGGAGGGTATAAGAGATGGCCTGATAATAATAATACGGGAACCGCAGCGGCGAATCGGGGGCGAGAGAGGTTCGAAGAAGAAACGACTCTGGGGTTGAGAACGAATGGGGAAAAATGACTGGTCCAGTTGAGTTAGTGCTCCTGCACGGAGTCGATCATTCGAATCGCTTCCGAGAAAGCTGATACGGAAATCCAGTCACTACTTTGTTGATTCATCTCAACCGAAATTGAGGCACCTTCCTTTGGCAATCATGGCGGGGATCCCTGAGATTGATGTCGCCATTTTGGGACAGCTAACCGCCTTTTCGAAAAGTTGATGTTCCTGGGGACTGAACAACACAAGTTCAGGCTGCGATCCCAGCAGGACGTCTGCGGAAAAGCCCCAGAATGTGGATGGCGAACCGGACCCAGGCACCGCATCTTGTGACCTGTCATGCACCGAGGACGTGGAGACTCGATTGGGATTCCCCAAATTGCCATCAGAGCTCCCCTGATATGGAGAAGAGGTCGAGGCTGAAGCTCACCTGGCAGGTCGCGAGCCAGTTCTAGAACCAGTGTGAGACAACGAGAAACCTTCACAGCTCTGGCGAGGGCCAGTCATCCCACGGCGAGATTGATCAAGAAGTGGCAAAGGCAAAGAAGTCCACAGATGCCTATCTTCATCCTCTGAAAGCTCCTCTTTTCGCTTCGTGATGCACGAGTCCGATAAGCCCAGCCATATCACGACAGGACCGAGATAAACGTGCATTTGACCAGGTGCACCCTTGCTATAGAATCAGCACGTATGTTGGGAGGGGCCATCTGGCTCTTGCAGCAGTCGACCTCGCTGGCAGGCAGAAAGGCCCCAGGAGGAAAGACGCCTGTATCAGGAAATGGAAACCATAGCAAGATAGTAGCCAGCGCTGGATGGGGATTAAGGGTTCCAGGGTTGATGTCATTTTGGACTGGCAATCTGTTCGGAGATGCTCCATGATTCAAGAACCCAGCACAGCGTGGCGGCCCATGATGTGGTGGGCAAAACCAAAATTTGCAGGGCGAGAGAGGCATGGGGGTATATTCTGCTTTCCCTCTGGTCGGTGAAGAGCGACGTGTCTCAACTGGGGAATCATAACAAGCAGAAGCTTGAGTTTGTGTTTTTATGTTTTACTGTTTTATTGTATTCTGCAATCGTGGCAGACAGGATCTGGATGTTGTGCTCCTGATCGCATGGCTCTCCAGGGGGTTCTTCAGCCAAGTTAAGCGGGATCAACCCTGTAAATATCTCCCAACTGTTATCTGAACCCAGTCGAGGCCTGCTCATAAACACAATCAAGGCGGGAAAAGAGTCTAATTCCCCTATACGCTTGGCGAGCAGGGTTGGGGAATAGACATGCCCAACAAGCATCAGATGAGAGGGTGGGAGAGCGTAGACACAGGGCAACCGGGCGGCCCGGGGCAGTGATGAGCGGGCAATGCGGGCTTTTTTGTCTTTTTTTTTTTTCTCTGGATGCTGGCTTTCTCTCCTCCCAGATCCGGCGGTGGCAGCGCGGCTCTCAAGTTTGGATTGTGGGCGCGATGGATGGGAGATGGAGATGGGGGCATGTTAGACGAGGAGCCGGGTCTCTTTTAGTTTCATGCACCAGCAGTGGAGATGAGCCAGGGATCATCATCACGAGCTCCCAGGCCAGTGATCGGGAAACAGTCGAGCAGCGTGCGGAGGACCAGGCGAGGAGGGCGACCAGGCCAAGCCGAGAGCGACAGCCAGCAGACGGGAACGAGCAGGCCGACGAGCAGACAGCAGCGAGGCCAGCTGGGAGAGAAGAGAAGCAGATTGCGAGGGCGAGCGGCGAGCCCGGCTGGTGACGGGCGAAGAAGTGCTTCTAATTAGTGAGGATAGTTATAGCGAGAATGCTAAGTTAATCAGCGCGAGCATGGTTCATCCTCTTAGCTCCAAAGCCAGCAGGAGATTGAGCGAACTGCCGCTGGACGACGGGCTC